AACGTATCTCCTTACCTTTGCACTTTTTGGTAAGAAGATGTTAACAAAAGTTGTTCGTGTTGATGAGGGCTACAACTTTGCTTAATATCCTTTTAACAAATTATGCGTATTTAAGGAGATACGGCTGCGCATGCGCAGAACGTATCTCCTTACCTTTGTACTTTTTGGTAAGAAGATGTTAACAAAGTTGTTTGTCTTGATGAGGGCTACAACTTTGCTTAATATCCTTTTAACAAATTATGCGTATTTAAGAAGATAGGTCCGCGCATGCGCAGTAAGTAACTCCTTACGCTTGCATTTTTTGGTAAGACGATGTTAACAAATGTTGTTCGTCTTAACGAGGGCTACAACTTTGCTTAATATCCTTTTAACAAATTATGCGTATTTAAGAAGATAGGTCCGCGCATGCGCAGAACGTAACTCCTTACGCTTGCATTTTTTGGTAAGACGATGTTAACAAAAGTTGTTCGTCTTGATGAGGGCTACAACTTTGCTTAATATCCTTTAAACAAATTATGCGTATTTAAGAAGATAGGTCCGCGCATGCGCAGTAAGTAACTCCTTACGCTTGCATTTTTTGGTAAGACGATGTTAACAAAAGTTGTTCGCCTTGATGAGGGCTACAACTTTGCTTAATATCCTTTTAACAAATTATGCGTATTTAAGAAGATAGGTCCGCGCATGCGCAGTAAGTAACTCCTTACGCTTGCATGTTTTGGTAAGACGATGTTAACAAAAGTTGTTCGTCTTGACGAGGGCTACAACTTTGCTTAATATCCTTTTAACAAATTATGCATTTTTAAGAAGATAGCCCTGCGCATGCGCAAAACGTAACTCCTTACGCTTGCATTTTGTGGTAAGACGATGTTAACAAAAGTTGTTCGTCTTGATGAGGGCTACAACTTTGCTTAATATCCTTTTAACAAATTATGCGTTTTTAAGAAGATAGCGCTGCGCATGCGCAGAACGTAACTCCTTACGCTTGCATTTTTTGGTAAGACGATGTTAACAAAAGTTGTTCGTCTTGATGAGAGCTACAACTTTG